GCTCAGAATGGCTATGGGATGTAGTCCTGCCACCAGCATCTCCTTAATTACCAAGTGATCCTGATGATGGACGTAGCGCATTTGGAAGGCCATTAAACAGACGATCAAGCTCAATAGGTTTGCTATAAGAATTCAATCGCTTCTTAAACTCATCCTCCGATACTCTCTCGGTAAACTCCACCGCATCCAATACCGCTTTACACTTCTGGAACGACAGAGACAGCGAAGCATGGGAACAGTGAAGATAAAGATAAGTTTGGGTTTGTATTTTTGCCTTCCCAAATGATTTCCTCCGTTTCGTATATACACTCTATAAAAGAGAGACTTTCAAAATATCTCAATTGTATAATTCCTGGAAATCTAAATAAAATAATAATATTAAAATAATAAAATTCCCATATGTTCATTGTCTTTATCAAAGAGTGTAGGCAACTCAATAGGAATTTGAGAGGCATTCAAAGTAAACAACGCATCAGTTAACGTTACAATATTCTTTATCACACAAACCACATCATTTCCATTATTTTTTTTCTTTTGTCAACAAATCCAACTGTGAATCAACAAGCAAGAAATAATATAACATTTCTTCTAAGCTGGAAAGCAATGGATTTCAACCATGTTGCCATTATCCTTACTTAAAAAATATATCGCCTATTGAGTGGCCCTTAATAATTACAATAATTGGGGTGTTACAGATTTATATTTGATTTATTCATTGACGAATCTATATCAAATATTATAAAATCCATTTATACGACGATCTTCCCAACTCAATTTGTACGATTCATAATATCATAATTTGAACTTTTGAGGTCTGATCTTGTTTAAAGAAATTAATATTTCACCCCACTTGATTAATTAGTTGTTGATAGCTATCTTCCATTTGAATCGTCTTCTGTTATCGGCCATGCTTATTTAATTCTAATTATATATTTTTATCGTATTTAAAAAATCATTTAATAATAAATTTGAGCGTAATTATTTATATTTATATACATGGATAATATGTTTTAGTCCGTTATAAGTAGGAGAGTTCTTTAACATCCCAATTACATTCTATAATTTTTTAATGTAAATGTGAGAACAAGGTAGATTACAGGGATAATTACATGTTCAACATAATAAATGCATGAAACAAATACAACATGCATGCATTAAATAATTAAAGCGTTAGAACAAACTAATTGGTACTACCAAACATAAAATCATAAAGGGTAAATTATTGAAATTGTCACTTTTGTTTCATAAGTGTTCACTTTTGGTCACTACATTTAAAAGTAATGATTCAATTACTTATGTTATCGATGTATAACATTTTGATCATTGGGACGTTAAATGGCGTTAGCTTAATGAAGTGACACATTATTAGAAAAGTTTAACTTTTAATAGGTATAACGCCAAAAAATGATCCTAATATTTGATTAAATAGTCATTGTGACCCATATTCTTTTTTTTTTTTATGTATTTTGGCTATAACGTTTCAATTTGGGGGCGAAGAAGCCCTACTGTTGGTGAAAATCATTAGTCAACAAATGGTTAATGCCAAAATATGGATATATTTTTTTGTAATATCTCAAACATCGGGTCTGTGATTGAAATGTAAGGATTTAAAATTTAATGGTTTAATTAGAATAAATTGAAAAGTTCAATGACTGATTTTAGAAATTTGTGTTTATGACTTATTAGCAATAATGGAAGAATGTAAGGGCAAAGAAGTCTTTTAGCAAGAAATGAATTTAAAATTCATTTTTAAGAGATATTTATCAGGTGAGGATAAGAGAAAGGAAGAATAATCTGGAAGTTGGCTCTTCTCTTCTTCATCTTTACGTGAAGCACCATGATTAAGGTAAGTTAATTTTAAGTTGGTTATTTCCTTAATTTTTGGGTTGGTTTTAAATCCTTGAGTGGCATGGAAGCTTAAGGAAAGCTTTAAGGTGAATAGAAACTAAAAGTTGGTGATTTAAGGATGAATTAGTAAAATGCGTTTTTAAGTGAAATGATGAATTTTGGTTAGTAATTGAATTCTAAAAGCATATTTGACTTGTCAAAGGTCTAATTAAGGGACTTGAAGTGTTAGAAAGAATTGAGAACATGTTTGGAAAATTAGTATTATTTTTAGTTTCAAGAGTTCTATGGAGAATCAGGGTGTAAAAAGGGGTTTTAATGGATATAAGTTATTGGTAATAAGAGTAAGTGAGTTTAAAGGCATGAATGGAGTTTAAACTAGGAGATTTAAGTGAAGTTGGGTAAATTTTCGAATTAAAACAGATGAATTATGGGTATGGGTATCTATATTGGAATAACAATTTCGATACTATAAGGTTAAATTAAAGGATTGAATATGAATCTGATGAACACTATCGATACCAATTAAATTAGTATTGGTACTGATGTGGAGATATCGATACTAAGAGGAAGGTATCGATACTGCAATTAAAAAGGGAATTTCAAAATGCTAAAATGGTATCGGTATCGAAGTGGGTATCGATACCATAGAAGAGAAGTATCAGTACTGTGAGTAGAATACCGATACTATTAAGTCGGAAATGTTAATTAAGTGTTTCATTTCGGTTTAAAAAAAGGTAATTGGTTAGATGTTAATTAAGCTCCGACATTTATTTTGATCAGGTTAATGTGTAGATTCGATTGAAAGCAAGTGATGAGCGAAATGACGTATAAAGTTGGAGAGTTAAAGTGAAAAAGAGTTGTTTAAGACTTAGGTGAGGCAAAGGTGAATGCATTCTTACTTATTTTGTATAAAATTTGAGGATGACTTGCGATGAGCCAACATCATATGTTATGAACCAAATGAATTGGATTATATGATAGTTTTATCTAAACAGTATTTAAAAAAAATATTGTGTCTATTTCATTGTTATGAATATATATATATATATATATATATGTGCGTGTGTATGTGTGTGTTTTTATGGGAAATATTACAAGTATATAATTTAGGTGAATATATTTCATGAGAAGAATTGATGATTTGAATAATGCTATGTGAAACAATTTAAGTATAAGTTATATGTGAAGGAATGATGAGTTGAGTAAGGTGAAATGAAATGTTATAAACAATTGTTCTATGTGAATAAATAATAAATTCAGGAAATGTTATGTAAAATAATATAAGTATATGTTATAAGTGAAAATGTCATATGTGAAAAGTGTTAAACTTGAAGAATGATCTATGTGAATCTGATATATGTACATGAGTGCCACGTGAAATTGTTTATGTATATAGGTATTAAGTAACTAAAGTCTATGTGAATTAAAGACATTTAAATAATAAATGTGAAATAATTATATGGTTAAAGCCCAAAGTATATTTATGAGGATTAGGGGTATAGTTGGCATGGGAAGAGTCGAGGGTTCTATGTGGTCATTCGGGACAAATCTATGTGGTTATTCGGGACAAACCTATGTGGTTATTCAGGACAAACCTATGTGGTTATTCGGGACAAACCTATGTGGTTATTCGGGACAAATATGTAGCACTTTGGTGCAAATTATGTGAGCAGTGATGACTGCATTAATGCACAACCTCAATGTACTCGCATACCTTGAGTTATTAGCAATATACGTTGAGCTAATAAAACACACTTGATATAATTTGAACAATGAGTAACAGTATACATTGTTAATGAAGTGTCTATTGGTTTTATACAAAATGTTCAAAGAAATGTATAAGCAAGAGTGTAATGCATATGAATTAATAAATGAATAAAAGTATGTTATGAGTTATTAAGAGTATGGTGTTATAATAATTAATGACTCTTTCATAAACATTTACATAACTGTTTTATTATGTTATTATATTCAGTATTGCCTAAGGCCATGACTTAGCATGTGAGTTTTTTCACACGTAGGTTCAAAGTTACACGATGAGTAAGCCGAGTAAGCAGGAGACATGACCGAGTAAGCAGGAGACATGACAGTATACTTTTGAAGATTATCATATCGGAGAAATTTGAAATGTATGTGATTGTATTATAGGAATGTTGTTGGCATGTACCATAAAAATAAAGTGTAAAGTGTAAATGTTCAGATATGTATTTTAACTAAGATTTATTAAGTTTTGTTTTCTTTGTCAAGTTTCAATCGCATTTTAAAAGAGTCAAAGAGTTTGAAAAGTCTATGTGACACCTCAGATTCATATCCAGATCGGGTGCGGGTCGGGGTGTTACATTTTTGCCCTAAATTGAGATGTTAGAATTGACTATTTAATCAAACGTTAGAATCCTTTTTCCCTAAAATAAAAAGTTGATGGCTAAAATGTTATAAAAAAGAATTAGGGTCACAATAATTATTTATTCTAATATTAGAAGCAAATTCTGACATTATGTATTTTTAATTGGACCCCTGAACTTCAGAAAAAATATGAATTTGATATTTAAATTATAGACAAGATATTAATTTTATCTTTAAACTTTATATAAAATATTATCTTAACTTTTAAATCTGATAAAAGTTTCCTATAATCGACCATTGTTCACTATCGGTCGTTATTGATCATCGTGGCCGACAGCGGACATTCTATCCCTAAAATGTTCATATTCTTTTTATTCTCTGGGCATGAACTATGTATCAGTACATGTCTTAGTAAGAACAACTTACGGGAACATATGAGGGGCAAAACAATGTTTTAAATGACATACAACTAGCCTTGAAGGTAGGAATATCACTTATTAGAAAGTAATATCTGTTTAGATTCTTTCTTAGTTTACTGATAATATATATATTCTGTAGATGTGTATATGCTCGAACACAAATATTTTATATTATCAAAATTGATATATAGAATCAAAATGTAATTAAACTCTCTTAATTAAATGTGCATACAATATTTAATTATTTTCGATTATAAGAGAATTAATTTAATGTGTATAAAAAATTAAATTCCTTCTAATTATAAGAGAATGTAATTAGTGATGGACTGTGGGGGACAGGTGTTCATCTGAAATTTTTAAATTCTCCTATTTTTTAAGATTTTTTCTGTGTATTTTTCATTAATAATATATTTTATTCCTCTGAAATTTTATAAATTCGGCCCCTATTATAAAATCATACCTTTGTATCTCAGTGTAATTACTATCTTAATAATTTTTTCTATTTGATTGTTATGTAATGTTCAAATACACCTTGGTATTCAGGTTATTATTTGTCTACCACTTCATAAATATATTATATTTAAAAAATAATAATAATATTCTAAACTTGAAAAAGGCAAACCTTCTGGCAAAGAAACTTGTATATAACTTTATATAATTTCCCATTAACCAACTAAAAGTGGTTGGTAAGGCTTATTTAGTTGCTTTTACCTCCACATCTCACATTAATGACTATAAGATTTCTTGCCATGTTTTCCTCATAAATGAAGATTCAAAATTCATGAATATTTGGTGCAGATAAATCCAAATTGAATTTGCAAGTAAAAACAAAATCCAATGTAAAAAAAGTCAAAAGGATAAAATTATATATATATATATATGAGTTAATATTCATTTATACAATATAAAAAAATTAATTTAAATTGATTTAGGATCGTTATATAAGTAGAAATAGACAATTGAGAATATCTCATTGTCTTTTCTCCGTAGAATATCTCCTCATTTTCTACTATTAATCTTAACAGTCTATTTTCACTCATCCACCGATTCTAAATCAGTTTAAAATTTTTGAATGTTCTCTTCACCATGGGTTTAGTTTTCATTAATTGTCTCTTAAAAAAGAGATTAATTATGTTAATTTTTTAATCATACTCTCGTAATTCATGCTCAAAATAGAAAATATATATTTTATACCAACTTAGAATCATAAATATTAGTGTCATGCAAAAAATTGTTTTAATCAGATTTCAATCACTATTTTGATTGCATAAACATAACATTTTGTGGACTAAATTGTAAACTTTGATTAATTTCAGTTCTAACATGCAACTATAAAGATTTTCGTTTAAACTCGAGATTAACGTTGCTAATAACTTACTGTTGAAACTTAAAGAAATTAAGATAATATTATTGTGTTACAATAATTAACGGGGTAATCTCAAGTACTATTTGACATTAACACTAATAGTGGATATTCCATTCAAATAATTGTTCAATAAATCCAAAAAAAAGTATTAGATGATACAAAATATCTATTTTTTTATAAAATTTATACAGTTATTACATCCTAGAAAATACTACTGTCGGGAGTGACAACTGCCTTCTGACCAAGCTCGCCGATGATACAACACTGTTTGTCTGTGGTATTGATCACAGCAACATTCTGGGCGAACACGCCACTCATACCAGGCGATACCTGCATTTTGTTTCAAAACCTATGATATTCCAACACCATGCAAATTTTGGCCAAGTTCGATTATTTTTGAGTCGGGTGAACTCGATTTTTCATTTTAAAAAACGGGTCTTCTTATTTGGGATTGGGTTATTCAGGTTTTTTTATTCGGGTCGATTCGTGCTTTGTCAATGGGCTTGATATCCTAATTTGGATCATTTAGGTTACTTGTACTAACCATTCTGAGTTCAGATCAATTCGAGTTTTGATTCAATTTTTGTTCAGTTTTGAATGAGTTCAGATCGTTGAGTTGGGTGGATAGAGGTTTGAGTTTTCGGGTCGAGGTTTTAGGTTTAAGTCCGATGTCTGCAGTGTCTAGAATGAGTATATATAACAGTTACAGGTATGCTTCTGCAAGTAACAAGCAAGGTGCAAGTATGACTTACATCGAACAATGTTTCTCCCAGCTTCAACTTGACTGCTCCGCTCTTGAAAACCAGCATTTTCCCCACATGTCCCGCCGGCAATTCTTCAAACCGTTGGCCTTTCGTTAATCCGACCGCCCTTTCCGAAGATACCGACTTCTCAGCTTCCTCTTTTCCCTTTCTGCTAGCCGATTGCTTAGGTAAAGGAAGATTTACAGGAAGCTGAAAGAAAAACATCTTTTCTTTCTCAGCTTCCTCCTGTCACCCACGATCATTATTTTAGACATTTTTCTCACATATGTCGAATTTTACGAGACCGAGAAAGTATTAACATAATCACGAACCAGTAGACCGAGATCTTTAGCAGGATTAATAGTTTCCTCATCGTATTCCTTACCAGCAGACTCTCCAAATTCTGCCTTATCAAGAAGTTCTACAAGTAGACGTGTTCAAATCAGTTCAAACGACCGAAAGCGTATGCTAATACTTCCATGAATGATACTAATCTCGAACTTACCAGGGTCACCCGAATAAGGTCTCCTCAGAGGAAGGGTAATCGGATAGTAAGTACGGTAGTCCTGCGATGCCATGGAACCGAACGGTATCAGTCTATCAGAGACAAACACAATTCACAGACATGAAGAAAGAGCTAAATCTTACCCATGGTTCTCTGTATCCTCCCTTGATTTTCGGTGCTGGTGCTTCAGTAGTAGCAGCTGAAGAACATATGTCGGTACTTTTTTTTTCGGAAATCGAAGGCAAAGAACGCCTCCGGATCACGTCGGTTCCTTTATAGGGGGTCTCGTCCCGTTGAGTGCCGTACGTCCTCAGTGAAGTTGATGATGGGGCTCCAGGACCAAATGCAACCTGCACTGAAGCTGCAGGTATAAAATCTGAAAATTAGCGGCAGAAAAGTTTCTTCTATGAAGAGTTCGTTCACAATCTGAAACCACATCATCATATTGGACGATAGATTACTGCGTATGGTTATTTACGATCCGAGTTAAGTTCGAGTATTGTTGAGTTAGACTCGACTCGAAAAATATAAAATTAAATTCGACTTGACTCGAAAATTCAAGAGCTTAAAATTGTTAAGCTCGACTTGAGCTTAAAAAAAACTTGGATTTTAAATATTCTCATACTTAACTCGATTGAAGTTCAAGCTCGAGCTTGAACCTGAACCTTGAGTACATAAAAACTTTATATTATATATATTTAAGAAAAAAATATATATAAATGTTAATATTATTAATAATTTAATTTAAAATTTTAATATATTATTCTTTCGAGTTGCTCACAAACTTTTCGAATCGAGTATCAAGTAATTCACTTTAACTCGTTAAAAATTTAAGTCAAATTTACTCGATTCAAGAATTTATTTAACTGATTTAATCTCAAATAACTCATTATATGTCTGGTTTTATTTTCAGTCCTGTTGCTACATGAAAGAAATAAAAGAATAGCAAAGAGGGATTTACCTTTCTTCTCAACTTTAGGCCCTTGTCGGGTTAGATTCTCCTGCAACATGCAAGGGCAAACATGAGTTTTTGTGGTAGAAACTAAAAATATTATACTCGGACAGGCCTGGATCGATCATGAGACTTTAATGTCAATTAAAATTAAAATTAAAATTAAAATTATACTCGATTCCGTTTACGCATGTACACCGACAAAGTCAAAATTTTTACAAAAAATAATATTCATTTTTATCGTTAAATCCACTCAATAAATTATAAATAAAATTATAAATGAAGCTTTAAACCGAAGATAATTGCACATAAACACATCTGAATGTACCAATCTCTTAGAGACAGCCTGTTTTGACTCCTAAATGAAATATTAGAATTTTACAGTCCAAAAATTGTAAAAATTTACTGAGCCCGTATGAACAAAATGAGTATACGAATAACAGCAGCTGGATGAGGAAGAAGTGCGTATGAAAAAGATTCAAGAACGTATCAGTGAGAAGATTACCTTGAAACGTCCGAGAAGATACTGCGCCTGAGCAGCTCCTCCATCTTCATCTGTATCTTCGCTGCATTTTTTAACCATAAAAATGGAATTTACTCTTCTTCTTTTTAAACAGTTAATAAAAAGGAAAGGGGGAGAAAATAGAAGCAGGAATAATACGTTTTGGCGACAACCAGTTTGGGCTTTCTCGAAGATTTTGGAGCTTTAGGAGTAAATCGGACCTTCACAAGGACAAACAGTCGCAATAGATCAAATACGCACATCTAGAGATCTCGAAATTCTAGGGAATCAAAAATCGTTAAAGAAAATTTAATCAGCTCCAAATTCTAATTTGATTTCTTTTACCTTTCGCTGGCCAGAGGGAGGCCCGTCCTGATCCATGGCGGTTTTCAGGTACAAGACGAAAAAGGAAAACTGAACGAAATGTGAGAGAGAAAAGAATCGAACCCTAGACCTGTTCGAACTTGAAAACATGCTTTACCATTGGATTATAATACAGTTTGTCACACTAATTTATTTATTCTATGATCACTTTAATTCATGCTTAACATGGCCAATTATTTTTACGAGTCATTTACATTCCCATTAATCACTTTTCTTGAAGCATATGAGAAATGTCCCTCCTTCCAACTTCCAAGGAGCCCCAAAAGTAGAGATGAACATTTGTCGGATTTCAATCCGATCCGGATCGGTTTTTATCTGATCTGGTTTTTTTTCATAGAAAAAAAACCGGTTTATAAAATAACCGGTTCGGTTTTTAACCGGTTTGGAGGGCCGGATATCCTAACCGGTGTAATCGGTTTCGGTTTTAAAAAAACCGGTTTTTTTAAAAAACCGGTTATAAAAAAACCGATTTTAATATTCCAGATTACTCATAGGGAACCGATTCCCCCCAAGGGGGTACCGATTCCTCACTGAATGGTTTGGCTCCGAGATTTCCAGAATGCTCGGAGGGAACCGATTCCCCCATAGGGGGTACCGATTCCCCCCTATTCAACGGTCGAAATATTTGAATTTTACACTTAGGGAACCGATTCCCTATGAGAGGGTACCGATTCCCTCACGCTCCAAGCATTTTTATTAAATGTTTTCACACTTAAACGGCTATATTATCTTCATTAATTATCACTAACGTTCAGAAGTGATTCAAGGTGTATTTAAGCAAGCTTAGAAGCCATTGATCAAAGACAAGAAACATCAAACAACTAGAATCAAGAGAGAATCAAAGAGAAAGCATCAAACCTCAAATTCGATAAATTCAAATACTTAATTGAAATACTTAATTAACTCAACATAATTGAAATACTTAAATACTTCCAAGTTTGATAAATTCAAATACTTAAAAACTTCCAAGTTCGATAAATTCAAATACTTAAAAACTTCAAGTTCGATAATTGAAACAAAGTTTACGATAATTGAAATAAAGTTATAAAATAAACTACATTGCCATCTCTTCTTCATCATCTTCGCCTTCTTCGTTTGGAGGGGATATTCCAAGTTCGACTTCTTCAATGTGTAAGTTTGCTTCCAAATCGGCATCAATTGCATCTTCTAGGGTGGTGATATGTTGCTTACGAGCCGCTCCATCCAAATAATCCTTTAAACAAATGCATACTTCCACCGACTCGGGACTTAGTCTTGATCTCCGTTGCGATATAACCCTGCCACTAACAGAAAAAGCGGATTCCGAAGCTACCGTAGAAGCTTGGACGGTTAGTAAATCACGGGCCATGGCGGCTAGAATCGGAAATTGTGCTTCATTTTCTTTCCACCAAGCCAAAATATCCAAACTTTCAAACTCTTCAAATGTCATTTTTGATAGAAAATCGCATGACATATAATTTCCCAACTCGCTACTTGGGGTGGTAGTACGTGATCGTTTGGATTGGGAATTTACAAGAGTGTTAAAAAGATTCAAATTTATGTTACTTGGACGTCTACTAGATGATTCCGCATTCATTCTCATTTGATCGTGTATTACACTACTTGATCCGTATTTATTTAAATAAATTGCAAACATGTCTCGAAAACATTTGTTAAAATAATTTATTTGGTTTTGGACAAAGTTGGGTTCATCATCGGTTAGATTAAAAGAAAACGCAATTTGTTCAATTAGTGTTTCAACCCCACCAACATTTAACGTTGGGTTTAAAGCGGCGGCACAAGTAAAAATAGGGGGAATCTCCTTAAAATATTTTAAAAGTTTTTCCTTCATTGCAAAGCCAATTTCTTGAAAAACTTCGGTTTCAAATTCAAAGTCATTTAGTCGGGTAGCCAACAAAAATATTTGATTAAGAACCAACGGGCTAGTAGGGTAATAAACACCGGATAAAAAAGTTGTTGCATTTTTAAAAACCTTAAGCAAATCGGTTATTTTGGCTATAGTTTTCCAACTCGAATCCGGATAAATGTTTAAGACATGACCCCTCTCGAAAAGCCGATCGTGAAATGTTTGCAATGTTTCCCTTTACCTTAAGGCAGTATGCATCATCATCCAAGTTGAGTTCCAACGAGTTGGACAATCCAAATTAGGACCCAAAGCTTTTTTATTAACGGACTTACAAAATCGTTTATAATCATTTAGTCTTTTGTTGTTGTTACAAAGAACCGATTTTATCATTGTTTTGAATTCTAATCTAATCAGCTCAATAACCTCCAAACCGGCTTGCACGGATAAATTAATTATGTGTGCAACGCAACGGGTATGAAAAAACGCACCGTCTAAAATCGGTGAAAGTAATATTTTCAATCTTGGAACCGCGTTTGTATTATTCGATGCATTATCAAAGGATATAGAAAAAACTTTATTTTCTAATTTATAAAGACAAATTACCCTTTTTAAAAGTGTAAATAAATTAACACCGGTATGCGGCTCACCGAATAATTCAAACGCGATTGTTCTTTTCATCATTTGCCAATTATCTTGATCTAACCAATGTGACGTAACGGCTAAAAAAGAATTTCCGGTATTATGAGGGGAACTCCAAACGTCACATGTAAGCGACACACCATAACGGTGTTCTTGGAATCCTAAAATCATTTTTTCCCTCGCCGTACGCCACATTTTTATAGCATCTCTTCTAAGGGTAGTACGACTTACTTGAGTATAACGTGGTTGCATTAGTTGTTGAATTGTTGTCGTGAAATCTTCATCATCAAAGTGGTCGAACGGCAATGCTTTTGTAATCACGAACTTTGTAAACGCTTCTCGTAATTTTTCGTTGTCGTAAACAAAAACACCACCTTGCGGTGTAAGATTTGATTGACTAGGATCCGATCTTGAGCGAAGTGCCTTGCATGATTTTGTCAAATGGTTCTTCAACGTTGTGTTTCCTTCCGATGCAAGAAACTTTAGACAAAGTTTACAACGCGCCCTCCTCGAGCCATTTGACATCTCACATAAATCGTAGTGATCCCAAATGTCTTTGTTTCGAGTGTGTTCGATCACTCTCACGACTTCAAGGTTTCCCCCGACGGAAGATTCAGCCGTGTTACTCATGATGAACAAAAAATTACAAAAGTAAGATTTGAGAGATGTTTAAGTGTTGTGTAATAAGATTTGAGGAATTTGTAATCAACCAAATACATCCCCAACCTATTTATACATGTTTAGGGTGGTGAAATGGTAATTTTTTAAAGAAAAAAACGGTCACAAAACCCCCCAACGGCTAGTTTTTTAAACCCATACCGTTTTTTTTTCCGGATAAAAACCGGTTTTTTAACCGGTTTTTTTCAAACCGGTTTTTTATCCGGTAAAAAAACCGGTCTAGGTTTTTTTCTCCAAACCGGTTAAAATAACCGGTTTAAAAAAATCCGATCCGGTTAAAAAAAACCGATTTTTCCCAAAACCGGTTTCGGATATTTTTTTCGCAAAATCGGATATTCGGATTTTTTGTGCACCTCTACCCAAAAGTAAGGGTAAATCACTTTCCTTTTTCATCACTAAAAAAAGTTCAAGTATTTATGTTTCAATCACTCAACATTAAAAGATTTTAGTTTAATCATTTGGATGTTAAATCAAAACAAGATGACATAATTTTTTTTATGTTCATGTGGATTGTTTTGTTGGAGTGAAAGTCATGTGTAATTCCTTTTATTTTCTTAATTTAATTATTATTCTTTGATATCTTCTTCCATTAATTAAAATATTGATGAATTCGTCTTATCATCCTCAATTATCGTATCAATTTAGGTTTTTCAAAAATCTTTTTAAAATTCAATCCAAGATTCAGGAAAATTATACTTTAATCTATAATTTCATTACTTAATTTGCATGAAATCAGGATATATATTTCTTTTCTTCTACCTTCTCACTTTTATACGAATGTTACATGCCATTTATAGTTTATTTAGAAAATTTATATATTATATAAAGATTTTATTTTCTAAATATTTTAAACTCGTATTGAAATTATATTTTAATTTACCAATAAAAATGACAGAAAACGTAACTGAAGGGGAAACCATCTTTTGTTTCAAATATTTTTCCAAAAGTAAAGAAAGATATCATCGTTTTCTTTCATGTGTAGTAAAATCCTGCCATCTACTTGTTGCTTTGTTAATGATTGTGAGCATCTCTTTATTTTCTAATATCAAAACAATCTAATAGGAAAAACAAAATACACACATCATCAGTCCCCTCCAAATCCCATAAAAAAAATGCACTTTTTTATACGTTTGACATTCACATGCACTCCCTATACTGATGAAACAACATCAAACTTAGCAGCAACCTTGACTGGTTCATTTCTGGTAATAACTGCAGCAATCATGGGAGCTATTTCCTAAATTCATGACCCACAAAAATGAAAATGAAAAACAAAGAAAACCCGGTGGCTACATACACATCTACGGTTTCTTTCACCCGCCAAACTCAACTGGGAAAATATATTAGCATAACAACCTGCCAAACTCAACTGGGTAAATATATTAGCATAAACGTCTAAAAAGAGGTATAATTTAGAGACGATCCACATACCCCCGTGGCGTCCATATTAACCTTCAACTGATGGAAACAACACATGGAAGCTCGAGACAAGGCTTAATATCCTTACAAATAAAGCAGGCATTATAACCAGAAAATATTAGCAAAGCTGTTAAACAATACCCCCCTTAGAAATAAAACGGAATAGCAAAAATTGTTGGGCACCAGCTGCTGGAAATGCACGAGAAAGGAACCTTAGGAGGACATTAGTTATCAGACATAAACAGAAACCAATAAGCATTCATCGAAAACAAAAACTTATTCCTACACAGCACTGAATATTTAATGCTAGAAAAATTTTGAACAGCCTTTTCCAGAATGTGGCTTCATCAACTTTAGCCAAGTATCTGCAAAGTTCATAACAGTACAGCAAGGTTAAAGATGTGAGTTCCAAACTTCCAACAAGGTTATGGCAAGAGGTAAGAAATCAAGTTCAGCTCCAAGAAACATCAGTCCTGTAAAATTTTACAATGATAACAAAGGAAAAGGTTAAGAAACATAAACATAAAAACAACAAACTTGGCAGATAAAGTTGGTAGATTCATATGAGAAACCAAAAAACATAAAGGGCATTTTCACATAGGAAAATATACCATGAGATCCAAGCATCATCAAATCCATCACCGCACTATAATGTTGCATAATTATGATCTTAATCAGGTTCCAAATTCCAAAGATTATCAGACTTTTTTTAATGGCATAATGAAGCAATAAAAAATAAACAAGTGAAACCCTGATGAATTGCAAGAATTCCTACAACTTTCAAACAATTTTAAGACTTAAAAAGACTGTGTTGAACACTTTTTTTCTTCTCAAATATATAAAAGTCAACTGAGATTTCCAAGATAAAGAGGCAGATGGAAAAAATGCAAAGTTAATGGTGCAAGGAATGAACTTAAGAAACATTCGGTCAAAAACCCTTATTAACCCTGATCATGTGCCGATTTTAGGTCAGTTTCTTCTTCAACATACAATATGCCAAAAATGAAAAGAAAAGTTACTCTCAATGGTAACTTGAACTTCCTACCCTTTTCAGTGTCTTAACCCTATATTTATATGAGCATTTGCATTCCTTTCACATAAAGGAGAAGATTAGAAACACATTATGTCGCTTAATTTTTTTATTAGTAACCCAAATCTAACAAGCAGCAACGAAAAAAATTGCATTTACAAATAAGCAGTTGGCTTATATGGTTATGACCAGAACCATATGTAGCACTGCTACGGATCTTCAGATGGTAAGGTGGTGGTTTATCAAAAACGAAACCAAAAACTAGAAGAAAAAAAAAGCATATGGCCATAGAAGAAACAAACATGTCTAACCCATTACCTTGGCATATAAGTTTAAATGGAGTATCTGCATCACTTCATCTCCGCCAAGAACTTCTCATACTCAGCATCTGCACCATAGGTTGCATTCTCAGCAGATGAGACTGCTGGAGGAAAAGGAGGGTTTGGTGCCCAAGGCACATTACCAATGCTCTGGGAATGGTCTGCCAAAGATGTAGGTGCTGGAGGAAGGGGGGGAGGAACTGCACTGTAATAAGAAGAGTAACCTAAGGAAGATGTTGAGTATGCTGTTTGTGAACTAGGCAGTATTGCAGTCATTGAGTTTCCATATATATTTGTAGAAACAGCAGGGGCAGAGGTACTGATTTCAGGTTGCACTCCAGGTGGGAAATTTTGTGGCATTTCACTACAAGTCACAGGTGGAGGTGGGACACCTGGGGGAAAAGTCTGTACATGTGGGGGATATTGCAAGCCATAAGGTGGCATAGGCTGACCTGCAACAGGAGGATACATGGTTGATCCAGGAGGAGGCGGAGGAGGAGCATAAGGTGCATAGGGGGGAGGAACTGGTGGTCCCCATGGAACCGAATTTGCGGCATAATTAGCAGGAGCAATATTATTAAGCGGACCTCCAGTTGCAAATTGCTGTGATGGATAGGCACCAACTGGCTGACTAGAAACAAGGCCAGTGGCCACTGATTGTGTAGGAGGACCAGGAGGCACAGCAGGTTGAGGTGGCTTGCCAGCAACTCTCACAGCAATGGTTCTTCCTTCTAGACGATAACCATTCATACTCTTAATGGCATTGTTTGCCATGTCAACATTGGCATACTTCACAAAACCATAGCCCTTACTCAGTCCAGTAACCCGGTCCTTAATTACCTTTGCCATCACAATATCACCATAAGATGAGAACAAACTGATCAAACCATCGTCATCAAGATTGGGAGGTAAGTATCCAATGTACAAATTAGTATCATCATAGTCCTTAGGAGGCTTAACAGCATTGAACCCTAAACCGGGGTGTGCATTTCCACTGTTGCTAGCCCAAGGAGGATTGCTTCCAGAACTAACAGATGAAGAGTTTTCCTTGCTAGCAGAATCAGGAACAGTACCTCCTAACTCGGCCAAGAAATTCTGGTATTCATCATCCATTTTCTTCCCTGTTGTTCCTTTCATTGGACAATCAATTGTTGGATGCCCGCCATCTCCACAAATCTTACATAAAACATCACTCTTAAAAGTAGAAGTGCGTGAAGGACATGCATACTGACGATGACCCGCCTCACCGCACAATCTACAATACTCTTCATCTCTTATCGTTCCATTCAAAGAAGCTAATTCCCTCAACTGTTGCCTCTTATGCTCGTTCAAAACTTCATCAACAGGATGCAAGAGCTTTTCCAACATTGCTGCAGCAGCATCAAGTGATTCTTGGGTTTCAGCCTCAACTAAAACATGCAAGTCCTCGTTCTCAGAAGGATCAGGTTTCATATCCCTCTTCTGCTGAAACCTACCTTCCTTTACAGAACCTTTACCCCGAATTACAATCTTCGCACCTGTTTCCTTCTCCATCCTCTTTTGAGTATTCCCTCTTGGTCCGATAATCAACCCGATAAAATTGTAACCTGGGTATTCTTTCATCGGTATATAAAGCTTCTTGTGAAGCTTAGGTGGCCTATAGTCTGCCGGCGGCTTGAATGCTGGATTCTTCTTAAGAATCTGAGATATAATTTCCTGCCTCTCTCTGTTCAATCTCTCTCTAGCCCTATATTCTCTGGTATTAATCCTAATCCCCATATTATCATATATAGGTTCAGGAGAAGGTGACCTAGCACCCTCAGGCCTATCATCCAAAGGTAATCCAGACTGCAACATTCTACTAATCTCTAGCAACCTACTATTCAAAGCCTGGATCTCAGGGTCAAATTGGATACCTCCAGTGAAATCTTTCATGAAATCAGGAAGCTGAATCACCGGCTTAGGCTCATCATCTGCCCATCGGGACTTCCTCTTCTTGTTCCCACTGCCTGTCTCACCATTCCCGCTCTGTTTTTCGTTCGAATCCGAAGGAGGGTCCCAACGGCTCCTCCTCCGCCTTCGGCTAGTGGTTTCCTCTTCTCCGCCAGAACAATCCTTATCGGTGGTGCCGCTCTGCGTGTTAGTTAACCCATTTTCCGATAGCAGGGGCTTATGAATCTCAGGTTTCGATGAAGAAACATTGTTGATAGTGCCGGATCCGGCTTCGTAATTAACCTGGCTACTTTTTTTTGTCATATCCATCGTCAGGAGCAGATCCTAGGGTTTTGGAATGATCTGATGATAATGCCTCCGAAGGCGTCGCCGGCGGCGGATGAGGATGCTGGTCGCATGAATTGAGGGTTTGAGCAGAATAGGTTTGGGGATCGTTTAGGTTGGCGTGGATAGAATCCATTGCAAGCCAAGCAAAGTAGGGTTTGAGTTTCGTTCGAAGAACAGCGAGAGAGAACTCAGAGAAGAAATTTGGGGGAAACTGAATTTCTGTTTCGAGGTTGGCATTTATCATTTATTTATAATTAGAAAAATAATTCAATAATAAACAAGGTAAAATATCTAAATGTTCTCTATTTTGTTTGGGTAAAGTAATCTAATTATTAAAAGTTACAAATGATTCTTTAATTATAAGATCTAATTTTTGTTAAGTCTTTTTATTATTAAAAGTTATAAAATGATCATTCAATTATTTACATGTTTTAAATTTGTCAATATTTGTTTAAAAAATTAATTGTTGTTTGATCTAGACGTTAATCTATTGCATGATATATGATATAATGATGTCTACTAGTATCGTTGTTGCTTTCAAGCACTATATCGACGATATAATGTTTCAAACAGTGACTCGATGATATAATATAATCGGAGAGTAGATCAATAAAATATAGCTTATACGATTTTGAGATCATATTTTATCATATTACAATCAACATGTTAACGTCCAACTCAGACGTCTGTCAATGTTTTTAATAGAAAATGACGAATTTGGAACATATTAATAGTGAAGTGACCATTTTGCAACTTTTAGTAGTCGGATAACTTAACAAATTATTTTCTTATAATCAAAGAACAATTTTATAACTTTTAATAGTCGAGACTCAATAAATAACGTCTTATAGTCGGAGGATCATTCGTGTACTCTACCCATGTAATACCCAAAATTTTGACTATTAACTAAAATGTAAGTTTTGAAAGTTTAAATGCTAAAGTATAAATTTTGTAAAAGTTTAGGGACCAAAATGTAATTTAGAAAAGTTATAGATTTAGCTTGTAAATGAACATTTTGGCCTAAAATAAGGATTTTTGTGTGAATCAGATTTTTGTGATAAAAACTATAAAGCAATAACGTTCAGTATTAAATCAGACAATATTATTTCCATATTTTAGATAAGAAAAAGTTGGCTCTGAACAATGTAATTTTTCAGATTTGACCAAACAATGGAATTTTAGTGACTAAAATGTAATTTTTGAAAATTACATGGCTAAAGTAAAAATTCAACTTAAATTTTGTTCATCTTTGACTTTGAGATATTTTAATGAAAGATATTTTCAATTGAAAGTGGTAATTTTCAAGATTCATTAATGGTATTTTGGGAATTTTTCATGAAATGAATTTTAAATTCTTTTTTATTATATTAAAACAAGTGTTAAGGCTAATAAATGAAAGGAAAAATCAGAAAAATTGTTCATCTTCTCCCCCTTGCTTCCATGAGCTCCATGGAAGGTGAGAAAAAATTATTTTCCATTTTTAAGTCGTTTTCTTTGATATTTGGGTTAAACTATTAGATAGAGAACTAATCTTCTTGAAATTCTCTATAATTTGGTGTAAAAATTATATGAAAATCATGCTTAAATGTTGAGATTCATGAATTGGGTGGTTGAAGAACATGCTTAATTTTGAAGATTTGATGAGAGACTTTTATGTTTTTTATGTTGTTGAGTAATTCTTAAGCTTAGGTGATGCTTGAATTCAAGTATGCAAGTTTATATTATGTTTAGCTATGGTTAGGGTTTATAGAAGTTGATTGAGTTGTGAATAAATTTGATAATATAATGATTGAAATAGCATGAATTTAATGACAGGAGGTTGAATTCATGCTTGAAATTTAATGGAAATCAAGTCCTAGTCTACTAAGTGTATTCGATCATAAGAAAGAAATTAGGTGGAAAATATTGAAAATTTTCATATGATCTATAATTGATATTGGAAGTGTTCTTTTTGATTTGGAGACCAATTTGGATTAATTTGGAAGATTGAAATATAAAAAGGGCTAATTTATAAGTATTGCGAATTGTGGGACATTATAGCATGTGTAACACCCCCAACCCGTAACTGATCCGGGTACAAGTTCGATGTGTCACATTGACTTTTCAAAACTCTGTTCTTTACAAATCCACAAAATTTTAAATTCATCATTTAAGAAAATGAGTACTTCACATTAATAAATACAATCAAATTGTTTTACAAAACCGATCAGAGCATACTCAATTCTAATCTTGTAACTACATGCCAACTAACTTTTATAAAATAATATACATATATTCAATATGTTTCTAATCTGATCTTCGTAAGGAAAATGCTGACTTGTCTTACTCCTCTTAGCTTCTCTTCTTGCCTTCTCGGAACCTACGTGTGAAACACTCACATGCTAAGTCATAGACTTAGTGAGGCATAATAAAACATATAATGCACTTTATAACATCTAACAATGCATGTATACTTTATTCTATCATTGTAACATCCCAAAAGCCGGGTCAGTGACTAAAATGTAAAATTTGGAAACTTTGTGCTCAATTCTGAAATAAGCTAAAAGTTCAGGGACTTAAGTAAAGGATTTTGGATTAAATAGTAAAGATGGATTAACTAAAGGGGTAAAATGGTATTTTAGTAGGAAAGATTTTTATCCTCCCTTTTTGAGTAATGTAAACGTGGGAAATGTGAGAAACATCCATAGTTCTCTTCTCCTTTCTTATTCCTCATGCCTGGGAGAGCAAGGCAAAGGTGAGAGTTTTATTAGTTGATTATTATTTGAATTTGAAGTTTGGTTTTGATCTTTAGTTGATGGATAAACTTAAGGAAAGCTTGGGTTACGGTAAAATCAAAGAATGGAGGGGTTAAGAGAGATTAAAGATTTGGAGTTTTTATATGAAATTTTGGAAAATAATTGATAAGTAGAATTTGAAGTTAAATTTAACTTGTCAATAGTTAAATTAAGAGATTTGGAGTGATAGAAATGAATTTAGAACATGCTGAAATTTGAGTATGATTATTGAATTTCATAAGAGGAAAGGTTTTTTAGAATTAAGATGGGGTAAATGAGTACAAATGGGCTTAAGTATGTGTGTTTGAGTTTAGTATATAAAAGAGGTTGAAATAGGAAGTGTTTAAGTTGAAATGAAGTATTTTTCGTGCTGAAAATGTAATTATGGGCTAGGGGAATCGGTACCCATTCAAGGGGAACCGATACCCCTTCAAGCGAATAAAAATTTCCAGAATGTCATGGGGGAACCGATACCCCCACAGGAGGGAACTGATTCCCCCTAAAGGAAAATTGTAAATATTGGTTTAATAAGTTCGTTTAATTTGCTAGTATCAAATTACAAGGTGTAGGTATCTAATAATTGCCTTAAAATGTATAATTATGTAGATTCAGAGCCTAAACGAGTTCCGGAATCATTGACAAGTAAGATCGATAAAAAGGGAAGATAAGAGATTGGAATGAACAAGTGAGGCCAGGTGAGTGCATATTAGTATTATATGATGTTAAATGGAAATAAGACTTGCGACAAGTCTATTTTCCATAGTAAAATGCATGAATTCATAAATAGAAATATATATGTGTATGATTTATATGTGTTGACATGTTATTGTATATATGTATTATATAGTTGATGTGAATATGTGCTATGTTATGATGATATAAACTATATGATATGATAATAAATTATATGAATATAAAAGATAAGTTATGTGATAAGATCTTTGATATATACATATATATAAATGAAATATTACTACATGAATACATGCTATGAGATAATTTAAGTAATAATATGAGAATATGGTAAAAGTGAGTTTATGAGAAAGGATATGAACTAAGTAAGCAAAGGTTACATAAATAATATATTAACTAGGAGACTTGAACTTCAGAGATACTATGAGCATATAAGATAAGATAGAGGAGAAAGATTCATATGCTTAAATAAAATTATGATACATTAGTTGTATAATAGAAGCTATGGAGTGATATGAAATGATTATAGGAGTTGTACGTAATTGAATTAAGTAAATAGATTAAATTGTATATAAAAGAAATAATAGAAGTAATATATTCAGGTTTATAAGTATAATGTAGGTTAGGTAATGCAAGTGCATACCAAGAAATACAGAATAAGGTAGATGATATGATGTAAATTATATTATGAATTAGTGATGTAGGAATGAGATATAAATATGCAATAAAACTTATGTGTTATATGATAAATATGAACATATAAGAATAAGAGATTAGATAAGTGACTTGGTGATAGAAGCTATATGACCATGGATTACGTAAATATGAATAATTTAAGTGATATGTAACTATGAGTATTTGAGTATGTATCCATGTGAGGTGATTCATGAGGTTATATGAAATATTATACTATATGACTATGTGAGTATATGAAAAAGAATATAGGTACATGCAAGTTATATAGAAAGGAGTTGTGTAACCATGCCTGATATGTATTACATGTATGAGAATATAAGAGAATAAAACATAAACTATATGAAAAGATATGATTCATGTGATGTGAACCATGTGAACATATGAGAAAGTGTATAAGTTATATGTATTACATGATATATGTGATTTTACAAGAAATGACATGAGCTATGTGATTACATGATTATAAGAGATCAGACATGTGATAAAAGATAATTAATATGCATGTGTGAATATGAAATGATATAAATGACAATACTCATGTTGTGTGTCATGAGAGCTAGGGGTATAGTTGGCATGCTAAGAGTCGAGGGTCTACGCGATCCTTCGGGATATATATATATTCTTTGGAACATGTGTGAAGTCTTGTGAGACACATACTTGATCCCGAGTATATGTATATGATTCTTAAGGAATGATATGTGGTCCTTATGGACATTATTATATGGCACTACGGTGTAATTCTACGCGCCACTACGGTGCAATTCTACGTGGCACTTCGGTGCATTTATATGAGCTGTGGTGACAGTATTAGTGCACAACCTCCATAGACTCACATATCTATAGTTCTCACATATGTACATGGGCTAATCAAGAGATATAAACAAATATATGTTAGTGATATGATAAATGTTATAAAAATGATATGATGTTGTGTGTGTATAGTGTTTGATTGAAAATGTTAAGCATAAAAGTATGTGATTACATGTTAAACTGCTAATGATGATTTATGTGTATGCATGTATTTATTGTTAATTAATCTGATATGATTTTTGCAT